CTAAACGTTAATAAAACCCTAAATATCTTTTAGAACTTGAAACAAACCTTGCTTTTTTTACTCTTAAACCATTTTATTGAATTTCAAAATAATAAAAAAAAATGTGGCTTATTCGACCTACATATACATTTGACCACTAGGACTTTGGTCCCTCTATCATATTTCTTATTACTAAATGAAGCAAATTCATATAATGTAATCCCTATTGGTGGCATTTTATCATCTCTTCTTTCGAATAAACTACCTAATACAAGATAAATATGCATACCTTATATACTTGAATTTGGTTTAGAGAATCTTTGAGTGAATTTTCCATTTGCCCCAAATGTTCTACACTGTTATTCTTTTCTGGGTTACTCCAATAGCTTAAGAACTCAAAATAATGATATTAGTACAGTACAGAGACCAAACACAGGAAAGACTAATCCATGGAATAAATACCTGAGAGCATAAGAAAACTTTATACAGTTTTAGAGTACAAAATATGTAGGTGTTTGCCTTAGTCTCCTACATATTTCAAAGAGTTGGGTTTGCAGCAGCCTTGCTTGATTAGTAAGGTCTTGTCAAAAGCATTTTATGAAATCTAACATGTCATAACATGAATATCAACATAAGAATCTAAGGTTATCATAAATAAATTTAATATTATTGGTTAGCATTCATACCTCCAATGTTTGAGAACTATAAAGGGAAAAAATTTTAAAGAAAAATTTTCCATCAAAATTATTTACCAAAATATAATGGAACAAAACAAATCACTAAGTTCCATTACATTGAATTTTTTGACATCAAAAAGGATTTCATGTACCTTGAACTCAAAAATTCTTGTACATTTACATCATGCTCCAACTTCTTAAAAGTTTTCTTCAGTACCTAGACTCTCAAATAGAGGATCGAGCATGTAACCAATAATAATGATAAAAATACACACAATACAACAAACTAGATAAAGTAAAGAGTAAAATGTTCTTCAAAGTAGAATGGATTGTAGGAAAGAACTCACTTCAAGGCTTTCCAACCTCTTGGTCCAATCAGAAACATGAAATATGTTTCAATTCAAGTCATGTAAATATAAACTCAAAATCACAAATAATATATCAAAGGGTGAAATTTTACCATACCTTTTTGCCTTTTCTTGTGGGGTCAATTGAGCAAACTTTGCAATGACCTCTTCAATGCTACTACATTTACAAAAAATAGAAATTTACCATTTGATGATAACATTCTAAAAACTTCCTCCATCTGAAAAGATAAAAAAAAAAAAAAATACTATGTGGACGCATTACAACAATGATACTTGTTCTTCCATATAAGAATTATTTACTTGTTGCCACCCTAACTCATGGTATTCTTCATATATAGAATAACTTTAAAACATATAATTGCTTAAATATATTTTGGAAGTATATTTGTTTGTCATAAGCTTAATAATTTCCAATAATTAGTCCTTTCCACTTGTATGAAAGATTTCAAAAGCTTTTTGATGGAAAATGTTTTGTCAGTGCTAGGTTATCATTCCAATGATTAGTTCTAGAGCATTGTGCATTCTTTTTGAGTCTAAGTAGCAAATTTCTTCTTATCCCTTTTTCACCCTTTGGTAAAAAGCAATACTCTGGATTATGTAATCCAATATAATAGGCACTTTAGATAACCCATTCAAAAAGAATAAACTCTTTGCAAGGCTTCATGAATTGCATAAGCTGATAGCATGCAAGATATGCCATCCTAGTAAATTTGACATTTTATTCATTGAATGGATAGAAGCTAGGGGAAGGGTTGATGCTCACTATTCTTGCTTGAATCAATTTCTTTAACTATAATATTTTGGAGGTTGCACACACTTAAAAGGGATAAATGAACTAGTTCATTATAGACTCACTAAAGACACCATTTTAATAAAACTAATAGCAAAGCTTTTTTTTTTTTTTTCTTGACCACAAAACTAATAGCAAAATTAGTGGTATTATTATAACAAAAATTTTGAGGAGTTATTTCTAAGAGCTTCATATGGTGCTTTATACTTATAGAATTATAGCACATTTATTTTTTAAAATATATAAAGCAAAGAGCACACACTCCATAAGCAAATCATTTAAGCATAAAGCCATAACCTGTATAGATAAGCATTGCAATCGGTAGGCACTCAATTTTATTGGGTTTAGTTTGTACCTAATAAATCAAATTCTTTTAACCAAATGATAATTATTCTCATGTTCAACTCAATGGTCTATAGGAAAAAACTAGACTTATAACCTTGCATTAAAATTTCTAAATATGCCACTTATCAGTCAATGTTACATGTATGTAACTCTCAACTTACTTCTTACCCCTAGGTTTCCCACATATTATTCTTGCATCATTTTAGCACCAAGTCAACTAGTTTAATCTACATTCTTTTATTTTAACTTCCATTCAATTATGTAACCATTTATTTTCACTTTTGGGATCTAGGAGAGTTTGTGGCAATATAGTTTGTAATTAGTAAAATTACTAGAAAAGAAATGAGACAAAATAATTTAATTATGGTATCGCATCTTCATGAGTTTTTCCATATCTAAAGCTCAAAATTTCAAAGTTTGTTATAGTCTTTATAATTCAATAAATCCTAACTCTGTGCAATTCTATCCCCAATTGACTTAGTTCTCAACAATGAAATTTATCAAGCCACCTAGAATGTAATCTTTTAGGGCCCTAGAAAAAGATTAATACAACAAACATTGATTCTTATCTTAAATATCAAGGTCTTTTTACTAAATTTCAAAATGTTCAATTGCAATCCTTAGAGCCATTAGTAAAGATTAAGGCTAAGTAAATCAACAACCTAGATAAATGTTCATTAACAAAATTTTCTTACCATCAAAAAATTAAAGCCATAAAAAGATAATGAGCGAGTACTTACGCTTTCCACTGCACAAGGAAGGCTTGCCAGTTGCTGAAAACATTAAAAGGATAATATCTATGTCACAAAGTATTAGCCTTCTTCATGATGCCATTTTTCCTTTTGGAATAGGTCGATTGACGACCATTTGGGTTCTCTAACTTCTTTATCTTTAACTTAACCCTTCCCATCCTGCATATTTCAACTCAAGTCTTTCATATTCACATTGACAAACAATTGAAATCCTACCTACCTAAAAAAGTGTCGTATCCCCAAAATTATTATCAACCCACTTAAAATTCAATAAATGAAAGATTCATTAAACAGTCCCACAGATGAAAAACTTCATTGGAATCAAATGGTAGCATAAATTTGTCAAGAAAAACAAGATTTCTGAAATTAATCATCCAAAGAAATGTCCCAATATGAATTGTTAATAGCATAAACACAATAAGAACACTTGTGCTACTATAGAAATGGGATTGTCTAAACTCATAAAAAATATGATAATTTGGCATAATTTACAAAATAGTAAAAACATGATTAGATAAAATGAAGAATACCAATTTTAGGATGTAGGTTCTTTTGTTTGTTTTCCTCTTAAGAATAAATCATAGGCAAAAATTGAAACAAAAATACTAAAAAGGGGAAAATGAAAACTTACCCAAGTGAGCAAAATCAAATGACCAACTGAAAATGAAAGATTCAAACGTAATAACATGGGATAGTTTGATGATTGAGCCAAAGAGAGAGAACTAAAGGCAAAAAGGTAGGGTTGTGAAGGACGAGCTTAGAAATAGGAACGTATTAAATATTAGATGAATGGGTGAGCGAGAAAATCGACCGTGGGGATTGAGCTAGAGAATAGGGATCAACAAAAAACCACAACTCCCATTTTAAAATACCTTTGGGTGCTGACCAAAATCTTATTCCACTTCCCATTTCCTCCATTGCTTGGCTGATACTATTTAGGCAAAACTTCCACATTAGCTCCTGCACTAAAATTGATAAAAATAAGTATCAAAACTTTATGAATAATGCAAATTAGCCTATAAATCCCTCAAAATATGCAAATCAACTCATCTTTTTTTTTTCTTAACCTAACTTTTCCACATAGATGTTAATGTGCATTAAAAGATCCTTAGTGATCAAAATCCTAATAAATAGTCCACTACTATGAGAAAAGTAAAAATGAAAAGAAAAAGGGCTAGTAGAGCCATTTTGATAATATTTTTACAATTTAAGAAATTTTTTAATTCACATTAACGTCTACATGGACAAGTGAAACTAAGTGGAGGAAAAAAATAGACAATATACATATGTTGCACTGTTAATGATAAGGTTTAATTTAGAGGTTTGTATAATAATTGAAAGACTAAGTTGAGAGTTTATCTTAAATAATTTGCATTGTGTTGGAATAGGCCCAATATTCAACTTAGGTTGTACATAATGGGCCTAGGCCAGTGCCCATTAGCCCAAAAGGATGGAGCACCGGTACAGCAAGTACAAACATACCCACGTAGACAGCGCCACGTGGGCTAATCAGATGCTTGCATGTACCAATGCATGTCAGCACTTGGGGCTATAAATACCCCCCAACTATCTCCAGTGAAGGTAATTAATCTCTACGCTTCTCTCTCTGCAACTACTCCTTGAGAGCATCTCTCTTTAGAATATCGAGTATTGTTGATTTGAGCGTCGGAGTGTTTTTCTCGAGGAAACATTCTCGGGATTTTCAGGTGTAGAGGCAATTAAGGACTTCAACAGTGTTGGACTATGAAGCTGCCCAATCATTTGGCGCCGTCTGTGGGAAACCTTGAACAAGAAGTGGTGTAGCTTAACTCGCTAAAAGACAAAATGGCTCGTACCTTTACTGGAAGTCGCCCTCCAAGAAATGAAATAAACGAACAGGAGGACACACAACTGTCTGAGCTTGGCTTGATTGATTTTAGACCAATGTCAAGAAACCTTTTCGTAGGGGGAGCAGAACAGGATCAATTAAGTGGAACAGATGATGATGAGAGAACACCAACCAGATATGCAACTCAACTTGAACAGTTCCAAATTCCAACAGGAACAAGGCAAAGACATCCCAGACTGTACAATTCACAACATGAACAACCTGAAAGGTCAACTAAGCTTGCTCGGACAACCGAGCTCGAAGAGAGAACCAGAGTTCTCAAAATGGCAATGGGTAAAATCCTTGCCCGCCTGATCCCTGATGACCCCTTGATTCCTTTGTTGAATAGGGATCCACAGCCAGCTACGATTGTTGCAACTTGAAACTCCCCTGCTCTAAGCAACATAGTAGTGCCGACCAAACCAAGGGGAAGTGGGAAGCTAAATAACGAGCCCAGCTCGTCCAAACATAGTGAAGAACTGATGAGAAAGAACGCAGACCTCAAACCTCAAAAGACAACTGCGGAATGTACAAAAATCCATTGACGAGCTGAAAAGTCCTAAGTCGCACCAACATACCTTTGATTTGGATAGTGCTCTACTAAACCTATCCATCACAGCAAAACTGTATCAAGAGGGATTCAAAATTCCCCACCTGGAGACATATGATGGCTCGGGCAACCCAGATGAGCATCTGCACACCTATCAAGCCATCATGAGAATCCAAAATGCCAATGATGCCATGATGTGCAAAGTGTTTCTAGCGACGCTGAAGTCAACATCTAGAAGATGGTATCACAAACTCCCCAGACATTCTATAGACTCATACTCCCAGCTCGCCAAGCTATTCTCCAACAAATTTGCGAGCTAGAGGGAGATCACACACACACAGCGACCGAGCTGATGCAAGTTCATCAGAAAGAAGGGGAATCTCTAAGGGACTACATGTAGGGATTTAAGAAAGCCACTTTAGATATTGATAACGTCCCCGATACCATCAACTTGTCTGCCTTGCTGCATGGTTTGAAGCGTGGTCGGTTCCTAGACGACTGCTAGAAAACCCACCAAAGACGTGGAACGAAGTGAATGACAGGTCGGCTAGCTTCATACTGTCCGAAGACTTCCAATCTTCCAAGCGACGAGTTGATGATAAGCAGAGCAAAAGCCAGGAACAACCACCGAGGAGAGAAGAAAAGAAAAAGCAGAAAGTCAACAAGTAGTGGGGGAAGCTCGCTGACTTCCCAAAGTATGCCAACTACATTCCTTTGACCTTGCCAAGGTCTTGAATCCTGGCACAAATCCAGCACTGGGTTAGGAGACCCCCACCCCCACTGCATGATTCCCCAAGGGCAGATAAGAGTAAGCATTGTGACTACCATCGTACTTATGGTCACAACACAAAAGACCGCCAACATTTGAAGGACGAGCTGGGGTTCTTAGCTCGCAATGGAAAATTAGAAGGATATGTGCAGAAGCCTTATACCCAGCAACCAACTCAAACTCACTTCGTGCACGGGTATGACCGACCTCAGGGGCAGAGGTATCAGCTAGGCAGCACGCAGGATATGTATCAGGACAACCAATATCCCTCGGAGCAGGGCAGAGTGTACTAGGGACGTTAGTTCAATAGGCGAGGACAAGGACAGAGGACTGCCGCCTATAGCCAAAAAGATAGGGAGGGGGTAAGCTATGATGGGATCCCCCAGCCCCCTGATACAATAAACATGATCTCGAGAGGTATTCATTCGGGAGGCCAAAGCGCCCGTGGTCGCAAAGCATATGCTCGCCAGGTGATGATTGTTAATAAGAACAGACCCTTGAAGCGCCCGTTTGAGGAAGCAGAATGGGTAAATGCGCCCATTACATTCAATCCGGCCGATTACAAGCGAGTAGATGAAGGGCCCGACGTTATGATGCCTCATGCAGATCCCTTCGTGGCAATGGTTCATATAGGTAATTACAACGTCAACAAGGTGTTCATCGATACTGATAGCTCGCCAGATATCTTATACTGGAGCTGTTTTTAAAAGATGCAACTGAATCCGAGCTCGCTGCAAAAGTATGAAGGGCCCATATATGGGTTCAATAACCAGCCTATCTCGGTTGAGGGAGTTATTACTCTTCCCATATATATGGGCTCAGAACCACGCTTCAGGATGGCCTCTGTTAGCTTCTTGGTCGTCAAGATGGAATCAGCTTTCAATGCTATATTGGGAAGAGCCACCCTGTGTGAGTTAAAGGCTATTATCTCCCAACCCCATCTCTGTATGAAATTCCCAACTCTTCAAGGGGTAGGAGTACTTAAAGGGAACCAGAAGATGACCAGAGCTTGCTATCAAGATACGTTCAAAGAGGTTAAGCTCGCTGCAGCCCCAGCAAGTTCTGAAATTCACAGGTTGACCCAGCTCAGTCAACAGACAATGAGTATATTAGATATTGAGCACCGACCTGAGGGTGTCGAGCAGAAGGCAAAGCCGGTAGAGCCAGTGGAAACAGTTCCTTTAAACCCTGATGTGCCAGAAAGAACAGTTAAGATCGGCACCAAGCTCATAGAAAAAGAGCGGGCAGAGCTTTTGGAGTTTCTAAGGGCTAATCAAGATGTATTTGCATGGACTACAGATGAAATGCCTGGCATTCTAGCAGAGTTGACAGTCCACAAGCTCAGCACAGACCCCACCAAAAGGCTGGTGGTTCAGAAGCGTCGCCTTTTTGGCCTTGAGAAGCAAGCTGCCATAGACGAAGAGATACAAAAGCTACTACAGGCAAGCTTCATCAGAAGAGTGGAATACTCTAAGTGGGTGTCCAACCCGGTGCTCGTCAAAAAACCAAATGGCAAGTGGAGAATGTGTATTGACTTCACCAACTGAAATGAGGCATGTCCAAAAGACCCTCATCCCTTGCCAAATGTGGAGAAGCTAGTCGAGCAGGTAGCTAGACACAAGCGGATGAGCTTCCTCAACGCTGGCTCAAGGTACCACCAGGTGCAGTTGCTGTTGGACAATCAAGAGAAAACAGCTTTTTATGCTGGTGATGCAATCTACTGCTATGTCATGATGCCATTTGGCCTAAAAAATGCTGGCACAACATATCAGAAGTTGGTGCAAATCATCTTTAAGCTCCAGATCGGTAGAAACATTAAAGTATATGTGGACGACATGACAGTCACCAGTGTGCAAGCTGAGGACCATATAGACAACCTGAATAAGACTTTTCAGAACTTGCGCTAAACCCAAATGAAACTGAATCCCCTGAAATGCACGTTCGCTGTAAAATCAGGAAATTCCTAGGATACGTGGTATCCAAGAAAGGAATTGAGGTAAATCCGGAGAAGGTTCAAGCCGTTCAGCAGATGGAGCCGCCCAGGACTGTAAAAGATGTGCAGCGTCTGACGGGTCATGTTGCTGCGCTACATAGGTTCATTGCCAGGTCGGCAGAAAGATGCCTCCCCTTCTTTAAAACCCTGAGAGAGCCCAAGAACTTTTAGTGGACGGATTAAAGTCAGCAGGCGTTTGACAAGCTCAAACAATATCTAGCATCAGCACCCTTGTTGTCCAAACCTATGGAGGGGGAGAGTTTATACTTGTATCTGGGGGTTACGGAGGAGGCGGTGAGCTCGGTCCTACTCAGAGAAGAGAATAAGAATCAGAAGCCTATCTGCTATGTGAGCAAGGTTTTACAAGGCGCCGAGCAGAACTATCCACTAGCAGAAAAGGCTGCTTTTGCCCTTGTTTGCACAGCTTGTAAGTTGAGAGCTTACTTCCAATCTCATCAAATTGTTGTCTATACTGATCTGCCGTTGAGTAAGATATTGTAGAAACCGAAACTCTCTGGTCGACTTATCGAATGGAGTGTCGAGCTGAGTGAGTACGACCTCAAATTTCAGCCGCACACAACTATAAAGGGCCAGGTTGTGGCAGATTTCCTGGTGGAGTGCATCTCGGCGACTGTGGAAAAAAAGGCACCCGAACACCCAGTCTGGGTCTTGTATGTTGATGAAGCTGCTAATGTTGAAGGATCGGGTGCTAGGGCTGTGTTAGTGGGCCCAGATGGCTTTAAATCCGAACACACACTGAGGTTTAAGTTTCAAACAACTAATAATGTTGCAGAATATGAAGCCCTCATTTACAGATTGAAGCTGGCGTCCGAGCTAAAGGTATAGAGCATTCAGGTTTTTAGTGACTCTCAGCTCGTTGTGGGCCAAGTGAATGGCAGCTGTGAAATTAGGGATCCCCAGCTTGGTCGCTATGCCTCTGCGGTCAACAGATTGAAGTGAAGATTTGCCTCCTTCTAGATCAACAATATACCCAGAGCAGATAACCAATGAGTTGACGAGCTGTCAAAATTAGCTTCCTCGCAAGATATCAACCCTTATAGGTTAACAATTGTGGAGGTACTTGATGCTTCAAGCTACACCGATTTCACAGTCGAGTGTCAGCTGCTCAGCACAGATCCCTTTTCACCAAGCTGGACTACCCCACTCATAGATTATTTGCACAGTGGCAAGTTGTCTGAAGATCCATCCGTTGCAAAGTTGATTAAACGCAGGGCGGCTCATTTCACTTTGTTAGATAATCAGTTCTACAAATGGGCAACATTCAACTTGGGCTGTACATAATGGGCCTAGGTCGGCGCCCATTAGCCCAAAAGGATGGAGCACTGGTACAACAAGTACAAACATACCCACGTGGACAGCGCCATGTGGGCCAATCAGATGCTTGCATGTACCAATGCATGTCAGCACTTGGGGCTATAAATACCCCCCAACTACCTCCAGTGAAGGTAATTAATCTCTGCGCTTCTCTCTCTGCAACTACTCCTTAAGAGCATCTCTCTCTAGAATATCGAGTATTGTTGACTTGAGCATCAGAGTGTTTTCCCCGAAGAAACCTACTCGGGATTTTCAAGTGTAGAGGCAGCTAAAGACTTCAACAGTGTTGGACTACAAAGCTACCCAAACACATTGTTTGGACCTATATGTGCTATTGACAAGTTTGGTCAAATATCTAAGTACTCGTGTTCAAGCTTGTCTTTAAAATTCGAGCTGTAAACAATTGAGCTCATGCTCAAGCTAGCAAATATTTGACCAACTTAGAGCTTACTCGCAAGCTTAAGCAAACAAATACTTTTAACTTGAATTTAAGTTTTTTTTTTTCTATAATTTCTAATTGTTACAATGAACAATCATTAAATAATAAATATTTCTACATTTCTTCTGAAATATTATAGTGTTAAATGTTTAACCAAGAGCATTTTATTAAGTCCAATAGTAAAAAAAAAAAAAATCAAAACTCTACTTGAACATTTTTATTTATAATTCTTAAAAACTTAAAATATGTAATTTGTTATGAATTAATTTATTGTAGATGTTTCATCTTCTTCACCTTTCACTTCCCCACTTGTGTATTCTATGCTTAACATAATGATGGGTAACTCCTCCACTTTCCTCTGTATCTCATGGTGATTAACTATTATTTAGGGGTAATTAACACACCACTTTTTAATGTAATTAGAATGGTGATAATGGCTTAACTTGTAGCCCCTTCATTAGTAGGGGATTAATCCTTTTAACTGGTGAGCTAAATTTACTCTATCAAGAGCATTAGTTGATTGAAGTAATATAATGATGAAAATTAAGTATCATTTCATAAAGACTATTGACTAATTAATTACCAAATTTAACTAATTCTAATTTTATTTGAATTATTGCAATTAAATGATTTGAATGAAGTAATTAACTAAACTAGTTAAAAAAAAACTAAATTGACTTTAAGTAACAGCAAGAGTTAGAATTTTGAGACATTCGATTTCACCATAATCAATTAATATAGAATTTAGATTAATATACTTTCAAGGTATTTATCACTCATGTGACAACATTATTTTCTATCCTATTCAATATATTTTCTCAAATTATAACAAACATCTTTTCACCTATTAACTTGCTGTATGTCTATGTGAATTTTAATAATTAAAAATGCATTATGTTTTGTGAAATTTCATAGTTTACGTAGAAAATCAAATCAACTTATCACTAATGCTACACAAATCATGTTGGTCCATCTCTGACTTTCTATCGCATAAAATCTCCTTTCGGTCTCAATTATACTTTCTAAATCAATTTTAATGGTAGCTAATCATTAAAAAGCATTAAAAAAATAATATATACTCTATATAAAATAATAAATCTTAAAAGTATATAAATCATAAAATTTTATATTAAATTGACCTGGCTACATCGTAACCTTAGATGACTAAATTAATTCATAATTAAAGAAAAGGAAATCAAAGATCTTATGATAAATGTAAGAATATCCAATATCAATAAACAAAATTCAAGGACAAATACAACCAGTTTGACGTTATAAATCCTTAATCTTTGATCTTCTTTTAATATTAAATTTCTCTTAGCCATCTCTTTTCTGGTCTCCCCCAAAAGCCCTAAATCTAATTTTTGAATGGGTATTTATAAAGTTTAGGAAATCCTATTAGAAAAAGGGGTAGGACTTAAGGCAAAACAAGAAACTTTAATGTTGGATGTGCTTGATGCATGGTATTGACACAACGAAATACGTGTTGACACCATACCCGTGTCGGGTTTTTGGTCATTTTTTGCAATTTCTTTAATGATGAAATAGCAATTCTAGTCCTCCAAATTTTATATAATGAGCACTTTGAAATTCATTCATTAAGGTCCCAAAAGGGAGCCTTTCTTCTCACAATCCAGTTCCTCAACTTTTAACAGATATTCAATTAGTCCCAAAAACTCTTATTATTATGCATTCAAGTCCTTTTCTATACAAAAAAATAAAAAATAAAAACTATATAAAATATATTGAAAATCATATTGTATCCTTGCAAATAATAATAAAATCAAGGCTAATATAATAAACTAAAGCAAATAAAATGTTTCTCATCAAATCCCCCCAAAGTTAAGTTTTGTTAGTCCTCAAGTAAAATAAAAAGACAAAAATAAAACTAAACTCACTTTTATAGAAATCACGATTGCATTTAACATGTGCAACAAGCCTTTAAACCCCTAGGTCACCCTAGTGGACGAGTTGTGTCTTGTGAGGGTTTTCAATGGATCTACCTACCAAATCTCCATGCAAAAATGCTACTACATGATATGCATGCAAAGAAAATAACATGAATTGAAGATCAATTAGATATAAAGTCTCAAATATTAAAGAGTTTTCATACACTCTCTTAACTTCAAATACTCCATCTTATTCTTCACACCACTTGTCAAAAAATTTAGCTCATAAGCACTTAGTGCGTGTGAAAATTTCTAATAAGAAATTTCAAGTTTAAACCTTCATACTATAGTACTTATTATTATTATTATTATTATTACTTCTTTTTTTTGTGTCGAGTTTCCTCAGGCTTTCTAAGTTACTCATGTAATAAGTTTTTTGTTAATGACTCCCAAACTAGTTGGCTTTAGGGTATTAGGTGAAAAGACACCCCTAAGAACATACTTACTCAAGCAACCAAGGTCATGAAACATTCGACTTATTTTTCTTTTTTCTTTTTTTTTCTTTTAAGCCATACAACATATTTTTCCCAAATCTATCATTTGTCTTTTGATGTGAATATTAACATTTGTGATGAAAGCACTTAGTTACTGTTGTACCTATGATTTTGATGATTACAAAACACATTTGAGTGACTAATTGGTTCATTTAAGTGTGTAGTTAAAATGTCAAAAGATTGCAAAATAAGTAAACTTGGACTACACTTAAAAAGGGACCAGAAAGGCTTGAATATGTGCAGAGAGCCAGCTCTGATGAAATAGAAGTGCAAAGAGTCGACTCTGGAACCTGCAGTTGGCTCTATGGGCAAAAATTTGAAGACCGTTATTTGGCGCGCACGGAGAAAAGACACAAAACCAACTCCAACTTTGCAGTCAGCTGTGAGGGTGCATTTAATGCACAATGGTCGACTTATTTGAAGAATAATTAATATTTTTAAAGTCGAAATATCAAAGCCGGCTTTATGTTTTTGCAGCCCACTGTCCAAGAAAACAGAATGTTCAGCAAACCCACAAAGTCGGCTTTGCGTTTTGCAACTGGCTCTACGGAGAAAACAAAATGTGCAGAATCCCGCAAAGCTGACTGTAGAAATGGTGAGCCGGCTGTCCAGAGCTGGCTCTAGGAAGTTAAGCCAACTCTCCTGACAATCCTGCAACTCGAGTTTTGCATCCTGTAGAGCATTTAATGACCCTCAATGGCTAGAAATGGCTATTTTAGAGTAAGGGGCTATAAATATGATTGGTAGAAGATCTGAAGCAAGTTTAGAAAGCATTGCATTGAATTGAATATCTTTACCTACCTATATGAGCTTTAACTTGAGTTTTTGATCTTTGAGAGATCTTTACTCGTAATCCTCTTTTTGTTCTATTTGTGAGTGATCTTGGGGGTGTGATTAATCATTCAAGAGTGATCTATAGAGAGGATTCTTGGGGTTTATATGTAAAGGGGTGAGGTTTGAGAGAAATACTCATCTTTTTGTAAAAGGATTGAGTAGCTCCTTTAAGCCACCCTTGTCTTTCTTAGTGAAGAGTGTGGAGGAAATCCTTGGTGAGTGAAGCCAAGGTAGAGGACTAGGCTCCAAGTGGTTGGACCGAACCTCTATAAATTCATTGTGCAAGCTCTTCTTCTCTACTCTCTTTAACTTTGGTTTTGTGGTTGCAAAAAGGGGAAAATTTTTGGAACTCTAATTCACCCCCCTCTTGGAGTACATTGAGTCCACAGTTACTCAACAAGTTATAAACTCATAGCACTTTGCATAATCATATTTCAAGTCACTGTTTGACATGAAAGTTGACATGGTCTCATGCATAACCCCCAATTACTAAGCAACTAGAAATATTGGAGTAGAAATTAATGAACTCTTTTGTGTATTAATTTCCTTTTCTTTTTTCTTTTTCCTTTTTTATGTGCTTTTTAGATGCTACTAAGTCTTTCTTCTAAACTTCTCACTACAAACTTGTGCCCAAATGAAATATAATACTCATAAACTTAAACTTCATCACAATGGTATTATTTTTTAGATTTTGTATTTTTGAAATAGGGCACTTGTGAATTTCTAACTAATGAATATTCAATTCTTTGATACTAAATGATCAAATTCCTTAAAAAAAACAAAAAACAAAAAACTATTTTCTGAAGAAAAAAAACTTTTTTTAAAAAAAGGACACCCAAACAAACATGAATGTGATTTAGTGCAACTATAAATATTAAAATAGATTTCCCTCCCCAAAACTTAAATCAAACATTGTCTTCAATGTTAAAAGAGATAAGTAAGGAGAAGAAACT